TTTTTTTTTTTTTTTTGGTGTGTGTGTGTGTGGTACCTTTAATCAAACTACGCCATATAAATACATCTTTTCTTCTTATACAGATAACAACCGAGTAGAGGATGCATAAAGAGCTGAATTTCATAGTGAGAGAGAGACCTTTGAAATAATTCTAGGAGTTAGGCCAAGGCGAGCTGCACAAGTCAAAGCATTCCCAGCATTACCGCCTCCCTGGACCTGTAATTACCACAATAATCATTTCTCATTATTGCAAAGAATTTTAAAAAAAAAAAAGAACACCGAGCTCAAACTTGAGCAGTAACAGTCTTTGCATAAATGTTTAAAAAGAACCTGAAAGCTAGTGCTTCGAATCTTATCATCTGGATTAGGATAAGAAGCAACAGCAGCCAAGAAGTCCACTCCCACCGACCCGCAACCTAACTGTGCTCAAATTACATAACAAAATTCATCTATTAGTATACTATAAAACATACTCTAATAATAACTACAAGTCCATAAGAAGCCGAGGAAAAGGGACCCACTATGATGCGATTTTCGGGGAGCACTATCGAAGCTTGAGTCGCCGGAATTGACATTTTCACTCTGAAATTTCTGCACTACAACTGTCAGCTTATTCTGGTGAAACAGGGCTGACGTAACTGTGTATTTTTAAATAATCTTTAGGAAAAATATGTTTTTAAATTAAGTCAGTATACCTAGCTGTAGTTGGCGAAGGGAAGGGAGACGGCAAAAGGGTACTAGAATTTAGCACTGTGCCACCGCAACTTGGAAGCAGCTGTCCTAAAGTCGCCATTTTTGAGGACCTGATATTAAGCACTAAACTGCGGAAGCGCGTGGCGTTGATCAACCGCGCGTGTCTCTAATGACTGCCAATAACATATCCCCTGATGTAGATGAGAAGCGAGAGCACCGCCTTATTTTTAGGCCTATTTTCTTGATTTTGGACATGCATTTCTGAGAAATAATTTATCTTCTTAAAAATATATTTTTATGTTTGACTGGAAAGTTAAAAATATTTTAAGAAAAAAGTTGTTAAATATTAGAAAATAAGATAATTTTCTGGTTAAAAAATTTAATATTAAAGATGGATAATAACATTGGTTGAAGTAAAATTGGAAAAGGTTTAAGAAAAATAACTTACAACTGAAATGTTATTTTCCCATCTCCGTCGAGAAATATTTTGTAGCAACCAAACATCAGAATGATTTATTCTTTGAAAAACACAAACTGCCTGAAATGTTATAAAATAAAGACTGTGAAGTAAAGACAAGTATAGAGAGAAATTGTTATATTATCCGAATTCAAACTGAGGTACATAATGAACTGAAATTTCTTCTATTTATAGAAGAAAGGAAGCTATTGTGTAAGCTGTTACTATACCAGATATGGATAATCTTCTACCAAGAGCAATGTTTATCTATAACAGAGTACTGAAAGGATAAGCTTATTATACCCGATATGGATAATCTTCTACCAAGAGCAATGTTTATCTATAACAGAGTACTGAAAGGATAAGCTTATTATACCCGATATGGATAATCTTCTACCGGGGTAATATTTATCCATAACTGGGTACTGAAAGGATAAGCTTATTATACCCGGTATGGAAAATCTTCTACCGGGGTAATGTTTATTCATAACTGGGTACTGAAAGGATAAGCTTATTATACCCGGTATGAATAATCTTCTACCGGAGATAATATTTATCCATAACCGGGTATCGAAGTGATAAGCTTTTTAAGGAAGCTTATTTCCAATAGAGTACTAAATAGATAAATATATTTACGGTGGAGTCCCATATGGATAAGCTTCTTCAGGAAGCTTATTTACAACGGAGTACTAAATGAACATCCATAATATAATATATTTATAACANTCATTAAAACCTTACTAGGAAAAATCACGTGGGAAAAAATCCCAGTGAAGAAAAAAGAGTACACATATTTAGTAAGACGCATTGTCAGGTGCCTCAAAAAACCTTATAAGGAAAACTCCATGGGAAAAAACCTTAGTAAGGGAAAAAGAGTGCATCGCGTATTTTACTCCCCTTGATGAAAACCTTGTTTCAAATATTTGAGTCTCCGCATTCCAATCTTGTATATCATCTTCTCAAAAGTTGAAGTTGGCAAAGATTTAGTGAATAAATCTGCTGGATTATCACTTAAACGGATTTGTTGCACATCAATGTCACCGCTTTTCTGAAGATCGTGTGTGTAGAATAATTTTGGTGAAATGTACTTCTTTCTATCTCCTTTTATAAATCCTCCCTTCAATTGCGCTATGCATGCAACATTGTATTCGTATAAAATTGTGGGTCTTTTCTCACATTCCAAACCATAT